GGGAGGGATCCAGCTAATCTCTGCAGAAGATTAGCATAGAGAAGAGACTTTGTAGGAAGAAGATAAGACAAAGATAGAGAAAACTGGTCCTTGGATGAAGAACAGGGCAGAATAATGAGAGCAGATGTCCAGGGCTTCACTCTGATATTCAGCCAGTGAAGCCACAACCAGCTTGAGCTTTCTCAACATCTCTGTGAACTGAGAGGACACTTCATCCCTCTTCACTGCACAGCTTCCTGGTTATGGGAGTTTTGAGGAAACTTTATTTTTTTTTTATTCAGGTTAGTTTATTCCTTGACTATTAATAGCTTGAAGTGAGACTAAATATCATATTTTGAATTGAAGTGTCTGATGTTAATACGATAGACACACAGGAGTAGTGCTTCATAAATGGATACTTCAGTATACTTCACTTCAACCACACTTATTTCAGCTTCTGAATAGCTAACTCCACCAGTCTTAAGACGAGCAGGTTCACCCAGAGAAAGCACCTTATTCATACCTACTCAGATACTTACAAGAGCAACTAACTTCCTTCTCCTTGGAGCATAGGTTAATGGTATTTTACCATCACACAAACCTGTATTCACTCTGCTGGATTCATAGCATGCCAAAGATATCAGTATCCACAGGGCCTTGCTTTCACAAGTTCTTCCCATTTATTGTATCTCCATTAACTTCCCCAAACTTGATTCCTACAGTCAAAGAAACCAAGATTTAAAGGAACTGAGTCCTCTTTCCAAGGTCAGAAATAGAAATACTTGTTTCCATGTATGCGGGAAAATAAATAAATAAACAAAAAAATATAGTCTTCAGGGATGATCCTGCAAATCTTGAATTTCATAGGAGATGAAAACCACCAGGAAAAAGTGAATTATCCAAGCATCATTTGTTCTAAATTTAAAACAACTTCTCTTAATACTTGCCCACTCCATTACATTTATTGTGCTTGTTACTGATTTCTGGTTTTAACTCAGTCAGGTCAAGTATATAAGCCTAACTGTCCTTATTACATTTGCTCAACAGAAACACCAATATCCTGGTCATTGTCATACAGAGTAGCCTAGGAAATTTTTCCTAAAATGCTATTTCCTGTGTAGTTAAGTAAGAGTCAACCACTCAGAGCAGAACCAGAAATGATACGCTATCTGAAACAACAAGGGAGAAGTGTTCTCTCTTCCAGCAGCTCTGCTTTTCCATAATGTTGGACATGACAGCCTTGCTTCTAGCATTTTGTAGCTATGTAACTTTGGGATATTTGGGGAAACCCTTACCTACAACTTAGGAAATAGCTTCCTTCTTCTGGATGGTTGTGAGCCTTCAGTGAGTCAATTTCAATGAAGCAATAATACAAAGCAGATGCCATGAAATATTTGTTTTCCTTGTAGGGGCCAATGAATCCATCAGCAGAGCTGTTTCCCGCCTCTTCCTTGACAGAAGTGTTTCAACATTTATGGGCTTTCACTTCTAAATCTTACCCATTTTTAAAATTAATCTTAGGGGCCCTCCCTGGTGGCGCAGCGGGTTAAAGCACTGCACTGAGAATCTAAAGCCGCTTCTGCATGAGTTCGATTCCCGCCTGCCCCGGAGGTGACCACATGGCGTGGCAGACCTCTCCTGACCCGCCCGCTGCTCCCCTCAGCAGTGTACTTCGTCCATCTGCCTGTTCTGCTCCCCACTCTGTCTCTGGTGAAGCCTCTCGCTGCCCCTGAGCCTCTGGCCTGTACTCCAGTTCTGTATGCACAAATAAATAAATCTTTAAAAAAAAATTAATCTTAAAGAGATACTTGCTTAGTATTTCTACGAAGCAAAATGCTACCATAAACCAAACAGACACAATGTCCGATTTGTGGGTAGAGATTAATTGGTCAATTATTATGTCCCAGCACATTTTATAGCTTCTATTTCTCAAAAACATTTTAGATTTGAATTTATAATATGTGGTCATTAAAGCACATCTGAAAGCTAATTGTTAATATATAGTCTTAGCAACAGTCTTCTTTGCCTTCTGCATAATTCATAAAGCTCCAAATATTGTATCTCCCAATTAAGTGTTTGGTTATAGTGTTTGCTTCCATCTATCTTCAGCACCCATCATTGGTTATCTTTTCCTTTATTTTATAATTTGCTGGTAATTGTTATATCCTGACTTCCCACAAAATAAATATACTGTCTTATTAATGATAATGTGTTACAGATAGGTTTTATTATCAGTAGCAATTGGGACTTTTTTTAAAAAACAAGACACACAAATCTTCCCTTCTTAATAAAACAAAAGACAATACACAATCATTTAATAATTGCACTCATAATACCAGCATTTATCTTTTAGTTTTAATTGCCAAGATGAATCATCTAAGAGAGAATGGGTCATCCTGTGTGACTGGCCAGCACAGTTTACTCCCTGGTTTCAGAAACTCTTCTCTAGTTCTGCCTCCTTCCCTTTCCTCTCAAATCAGGCTCTCACCCACTCACTCCTCTATGTTCATAGTCTGTCCATGTATTACTTTCAAATTCTACTGCATTTCAACACCTCACATGTTGCTAGCATGCATATTATTTAAAACTATTCTTCTTTCTTGCTACTCTTATTTATTTTCTTACATCGACATTCATTTTTGTATAATAGTGAGTTCCTTCCCTAGGTGTAGTCTCCATAGTTCTCTCACCACTATATCACCAGTGAACCACTACCACAGTCCTCTTCCCTCCCTTGTGTTCAAAACTGTTTGTTCATACACCTTACTATATTGATCCTGCACATTTAAGTCATCATCTTTTTTTTTTTAAGATTTATTTATTTATGCATACAGAACTGGGGTACAGGCCAGAGGTGCAGGGGCAGTGAGAGGCTTCACCAGAGACAGAGTGGGGAGCAGAACAGGAAGATCGACTAAGTACGCAGCTGAGGGGAGCAGCAGGCGGGTTAGTCGAGGTCTGTTGCACCATGTGGATCACCTTCGAGGTGGGGGTTGAACTCATGCTGAAGTAGCTTTAGCTTCTAGTGCTGTGCTTTAACCCACTGTGCTTTAAACTGCTGTGCCACCAGAGAGGGCCCTAAGCCATCATCTTTTAATAAGTTATAAGATGTCATTTAAAGCCCTCATTAAATGATGTGATAAAATATTTCTGGCATAGATCACATATATACAATATATAGAGAATACCATGTAGTATGTGCTTAATGTTACCTACTGGTTTTAGTTCTAGTTTCATCATTTAGTCATTGTAACTAGATGACCATTGTGGGCACAGATCAGTCAATAATCCCCTAATACTCTCATAACTAATACAGTTTGTTATATGTTTATGTCAAGTTATGAAATGACTAAACTCACTAAGAAAAACAAAGTTTTATTGAAATTGTACTGAGAAGAATCTTTGTGCAGTTTTTCTGGATATTATCTCATGGCAACCTGGCAGTGGCCCTGAGTGAGGGGGTTCTCGACTCCCCATTTGCAGAGGAGGAAACGGCTTAAGGAATTTGATGGACTTGACCAATGTGGTGGGGTTTGAGCCCAGGCTGACCTTACAAGACTGCATATCCTATGGTCTGTCACCTGCAAGGCCCTAACAAGAAATAATAGAAAAGGTACTAGGAGTGCTCTATTATAATTACAGCAATCCTGTAGGGTTGGCTTATATGTAATTTACTAAATGAAGAAACTGAAATTCACATACCTTATGTGACAGAGTCATAATTCAGACTGACTGTAAAGACAGTTCTCCTAACAACTGTAGTGGATACTGCTTCAACCACCTGCAATAGTGCCTCTGTGTATGTGCCAACAGGAAACCGATGTGAATAATACCAAAAAAAAGTTAAAAAGAGATGTTCCATATGATCCACTTACACCATTTTGGGATATTTATCAATAAAAAAAAAAGAAAGAAATAGAAAGCAATTGGGAAAGATATATGCACCCCCATATTTGTGGCAGCACTGTTGACAATAGCCAAGAACTAGAACTAATCCAAGTGCTCATCAGCAAATGATGGATAAAGAGAGGTGAGATATCTATGCAATGGAATACTAAACAACTATATACAGGAAAAAGATGAAATTCTGTCACTTGCAACAACTTGGACGGACCTAGAGGATATGGCATTTCATGAGAAAGTCAGACAGAAATAGGAACACCATGTTACTTCACTCCTACAGGGTATACAGAAACCAAATAAATGAAGTCAATATACAGAAACCAAATAAATGAAGTCAATAACCAAATAAATGAAGTCAATAACGCAATTGCACTGTGAGACCAAATGAGGGGTTGCAGAGGGAGAGGGGAAGTGAGATGAAAAAATCAAGTCGAAGGAAACAATGGTAGGAGGAAGGCTACCATCAGACTTGTAATGGGAAACTTAAGGTAGTACGTACACAGGCTGGCTTTGAATGATGCACACCTGAAAGCTTTCTAATGCGCTAGTGCAATGTTACTTTACTAAAAATTTTGAAATGCTACAAAATAATAAAAAGGGAAAAGAGAATCAAGAAAGGCTTATTGTTTTGTAGTCTCAGTGATATAAAGAAGAGTTGGGGGTGGGGGCTGGGGGTTACCAGAGAGGAGGCATGCGAGCGAGTAAAGTGGGGAGAGTGGCTGAAGAGGTTCACTAAGTCTCAGGGCAGCAGTGTGCATGTGGCATCCAGAGACAGTGGTGGAGGACCAGTTTGAAAACCTGCTGGGAATATTTGCAACAGACACATAAACCATGACCATCATTTTGCATTGACACAAATGTCCGATCATTATGTGTTACACCTGAAACTACTATAAAGTAGCACGTCAACTCTACTGAAATAAATAAATAAATAAACAAACAAATAAATAAAAACAGTCAGTGGGGTATAGCAACCTGCATCTAAGGGTTATGATGTGTGACTCATAACTCTGCATTATGTACAGTGTTATAAACTAATGTTGCCACGATCAAAAATAAATAAGTAAATAAAAAACTTCCTGGTTTTCATTGTGTGATTCGATTATTTTCCCTTACAGATGGACCCTCACGAGAACATCTTGCTGAGCACTCTGGAGATAAAGAATGAGATGGCCACTTCAGAGGCGGTAATGGGGCTTGGTGACCCCAGGAGCACCATGCTAGCCTACGATGCCTCCAGCATCCAGTACCGGAAAGCTGGGCTGCCCAGGCATAGTTTCGGCCGAAACGCCCTGGAACGACACATGGCACAGAAGAAAAGCCGCCTGCGGAGACGCGCCTCCCAACTGAAAATCACCATCCCCGACTTGACTGATGTGAACGCCATAGACCGGTGGTCCCGCATATTCTTCCCGGTGGTTTTTTCCTTCTTCAACATCGTCTACTGGCTTTACTATGTGAACTAAAACATAGCCTCCCCTGGGAAGCAAGGACTGGATTCCTCCTCAAATCAGTTGTACAGCCTGATGTAGGACTTGGGAAACACATCCATCCAGGACAAAAGGGATGCTAAAATACCTTAGTTGCTGGCCTATCCTGTGGTCCATTCCATACCATTTGGGTTGCTTCTGCTAAGTAACGAATACACTCAGGTCCTTGTGGCATTCCAGTTACCATGCAAGTGATTGGTACACACGCAGGCAAGACCGAGTCTGAGCAGATGTATGCTTAGTAGGCAGCCTGGGGAAAGAGGGATTATTTCAAAGCTATTCTTAGAAGGCCCAGTAGCATGATCAGTTATTTCACTGAGAAGTGGGCATGACCATATCCTCACCATCTTCATTCTCAAGGTCGGCTGCTGTTGAGATGGCGCTGTGCTTTCAGGGCCCCAGCTGCCATGCTTGCTGAGACTGCTTAGGGCCCGTCTTATTACAGTGAGGAAGGCGCAGCAGGAAGATAATTCCTACTGGATTCTAGAAGGTTCACATGTAGATCACACAGGACAGGGAGTATCCAGACAGACTCAGGAAACTAGTTTGACCTGTCTGTTTGCTTGAGCCCATGACATCTTCCATTTTGGCATTTAGAGATGGGGAGACTTCTGAGCATTGTCATGAATGGTGGCCAAAGAAGTTTTTCTAGCAAGCTGTTTTCCGGGTGGTTGAAATAAAGTTAACAACCCAGAGCAGAGTGGGAAATCCAGAAAGAGCTGTTGTGACACACTTGAACAAGCCAGCAGCATCACGCTTCTCAGCCCCATGAATCTGGTCTCTCCATACTATGTGCGTAAGGTAAAAGGAGGAAAAATGGTTGTTTGGTTTTTTTTTTTTCCCCAACCTCACAAACACACTGAACATGATTCCATAGTTTAACTAAACAAACCCCCCAAGACCTAATACCAGGAGTTAGCAAAGTTAGAAATGTGTTTGATGTTGGCTCCATTGGAAGGCATTCCAATAGACTAATGCTGGCCACAAATGACACTAACAAACAGGTTGCTTTTTTTCAGATGACACCAGCTGTCTCTGCAACCTTTCCCTCTTAAGTTTATTTCTTAATTAATAGGCCATGTTAAAAGAAGGGTTTGTTCCTTTATTTAAGGCTTTAATGGTCTTTTCCAATTTTTCTTCCTGCAAAAATTCTGTTTATATTCTTGGCTGTCAGAAAAAAGTAATACTACAGCAAGCTGTATCGCTTTATGTGTAAGAAACTTTACCTCTGTCTTTTGCATAGCAAACAAGACTTCAAAGACGATGTGCACAAGCAAAGTCCGTTTGTGGATTTGTTGGGTTAGTTTTCAGGGCTGTGCTGATTGATTCCACAGTCTGCCTAAAGAAGGGAAGCATGGAAAACCAGTGGGACATAGGATGGCACAAGGCCACATTAACATGATGACTGTGACAAGCCTCCATTGTCATGGCAAACAATTATATGCCTGATCACCAGGCAGGCATAATATATGGTTTTTGCTATATTTTCAAATGATGTCTTCATGGTTCTATCAATACTAATCAGACAGATGAATTCGCATGTTGGGCAGGAAAGAGAATAAGCTAATATATTTATATTGGCAAAAGGTTCATATTTTGATTTTTTTGCAGTAAAGAACAAGTTGCTCAATTTTCCTTAAATTTGATTACTGAAACTTTTTCTCAGAAGGTGACTTTGCTATCTATTAAAACAAAACAAAACACTGCAGATAGCATCATTCACTGGGCTAAGTAAGCATGGCCATTATTTGCCTGTAGATAAAAATATTTTTTTCTTCCCCTGATGATTCGGTAGCCTGAAATATGATGGCATCCTGCTATTCCATTACAACCCTTTGTACACAACAACTTCTAAAATGGTTTAGCACTCAGTTTCCTGAATTTGTCCCAATGTGGGATAGTGTTTTGTTGTTCACCAGCTTAGGAAACTCTGGCCCTTGTGTTATATTTTATATGCTTGAATGCCCCTGAAGAGGTGATCTTTGGGCAGAATCCAGTTGAGTTTCTACCCATGAGCTCAGAGTAGAAATTTTTTCCATTTCTCCAGGGACGTACTTTCTCCTAGACAAGCATGTGGGCATCACACTAATAAAAGTGCCTTGCCCTTCTCATCAGGAGGTCAGGTTTCAATAGAAAACATCAGGCAAGAGCGTATCAATAACTCAGGTGCACAATTCCCAAATGCCATTCTGGAAAGGTCTTTTCTGGAGACAACTCACAGCCCAATTCTTTAGAAGTGGGCTCTTATTTGCGATGATCATAAAAGCCATAAAAAATCCTTGATATTGTCACTTATGGTTACAACAAAATTTTCATGTCCCTGGAAGTCAGTAATCTAGGACAAAGTGGAGAGAAGCAACTTTATAGCATGTATCTCAAAAGCTTGTGACATGGGATTTATTTCTGTTCTCAGTGATAAAAAAAAAATAAGAAAGGTAGAAACAGATGCGCTAGATCTAAGTCCATACATTGGCATTTAGTAACCATCTAGGTAGAAACAGCTCATTCCTCTGGCCCAGAGATATTTGTGGATATAGATTTATTCTTATGCTCTGTGTTTACTGTAGTTGAATTGCATTGTAGTCATCACATTGGGAGAGGGCCTTGGAAGGGTGCTAGATTATGTAAGTGACCAGTCAGCTGGATAGCCCATGGTTAAACTTAAGGACCCCAAAAGTGTGTTTTGGAAATTCTGATATGATACTGCTATCAATTTATACATCTATATAGAGTTTTTCTTTTGATTATAAAGTAGCCAGATAGCCAGCAATTAAGGTGTTTTCTCATCTTTGTGAAATTCATCGGCAAATTCTGACTCTAAAATGCACAGTCTAAGTGAAACCTTTGATCTCAATATGTATATATATATTGTACATGACTGCTAGTAGGTATGAAATGCATTCTCAGAATTGAAAACTCATGCAACATAATCATGTGTTTGCATAAGGAATGTTACAATTCTTTCTACTGCAATTTAATAACAGGGAAAAGACTTAAGCAGTGCCATCTAGACCTTTTCTCATTTCTTCAAAAGCAGTGCTAAGTAAAAAAATAATAAAAATGGTTTATGAACCAAAAGACTTTGCATTCTAGCATTAGGAACACTCTCACACACAAAACAAAATCTGTCAGCTAACAAAAGCACAACACATAGAGAAAGTTCAGTGGGATACGTAATGGGGAAATAAATCATGTTTATTTCAAGGAAGACCTGCATTAAATTGGCATATAAGTCAATTTCCATTTTCTATAGGTAACTGTGTTCCAGTTTTATGATGAACTTCATACTCAGCAACAAAAACAGCAGAACAATCAACAAAAAAACAGGTCTTACAACATATCTAATGTATATATATGTATATATATATAGGTCCATAAAACAGACATACATATATATGCGTTCATATGTTGGAATATCAAAGGAATAAGCTAATATGTTTTATTTCCTTCATTACACCAGTGTATGAGCCTTTTTAATTTGGCAACCAACAGATCAACATAATGAAACAAGTAATACAGGGTACTGAACATTTCTCTATCAGCAACTCAATGCCTACCGTTCTTATGGACCACCGTGCAGTTTGATGCCACATTAGTTACTCTAACTCAGAACATCAGAAATTAACTAGTCCTCCCATTGCTTGTCTCTTGCTCTCTTTTTCAGTGAAACAACATTGTCTATTGGTGATTTAAAAACTAAAATGTCTTAAGGAAACAGAAAATTATATTTAAAAAAAAAAATATCCTAGAAAGAGAAAAAAAAAAAAAAAGCCAAAGCCCACCTCGCTGGTTGGGGCAAATGGTCTCCATTGTAGCAGTCATGCCATTTGCTAAGTGTACAGTCGATGTAATGTGAGCAGCTATGACTTTCTCCGAGCGTGTGTAAATACTAAAACAGATTTCTTAAATATTTTTAACTTCTAATTTGTATTTTATGGTAAGGCAATGTGCTAATTCTGTTTATGGCTTACGTTGACGTGTTATAATACTATGTAAATAGTCAAACATGCTGTAAATGAATACTAAGTAGACACAAATAATGGTTTTCATTTTTTCATTCTTCATTTTTATTTTTTACTACGTACGGTTACTGCAGTGCCCCAGCAGAGTAATTTAAACACCCTTTTGCATCATTGATTTGGATCCCAGACAGAAAGGTTTGCTATCTCACTCACACACACACACACACATACACACACACACACCCTCACTTGCCTGTTCTCTCACTCCCACCCCTCTATAGAAGCTCAGTAGTGCTGTGTAACAACTTATATAGTCCATGTCACAACCCAGATATGGCCTGAGGAATGACAGTGTGGGAAAAAAGCAAGAATGATCTTGGACAAGAGTTTTTTATATGTCAGTTCAAGAAACCACAGGTTGTAAATTAAATCTCAGTTTTCAAAGAGTAAAAATTTACAATGATGGCACTACAGGAAATAAAAATGCTTGTTATTCACACTCACTCCAGGAATTTGCTAGACATGATACATAGTAGAAGACCTTTTTTAAAAAGAAAAAATGGTAGCATTTTGTCCTTAGATAGTATTATTCCTTTCAACCAAAGACTCTAGAATGGGGGTAGGGGGTAGGGTTTGCTTCACACCAAAGGTTTGAAAATATTTTACAAATATACTAGGGCAGTGTAAAAACTAGTAAGGAAACAACAGAAAGATAATTGTGAATTATGATATAGCCCTGAAGAAACAATTTTTCAAAAAGCAACAGCACTCTTAAATAACTTCATTATTTGGAAATTGAAGTGAACCATTTCTGTAGATAGAGACGCACATTTAACATCAAACTTTAATTTGCTTTGAGAAGTTTTTGTGTGTGTGGTAAAATCAATATGTTTCAAAGTGATGAAAAAGAAAACTTGCTGTTGTTTAGTTTTCAAAACCCAGTGTGTCTCTCCTCTCCTGTGTCTAGTGACCAATGGATGGCCCCGTGCGTCCTTCTCTCTGAAGCAAGTCAGTGGTCTGATAAGCTGTACCTCTCCCTTTTACGTTCAAAATTCGAGTTCAACCAGGGTTCTTTTTAACATAATTCAAAGTTGCAAATGATTCCAATTCCATAACTTTTTAAAATTTTTATTTGCATGGGTGTTTAAATAGTTCTGTTATGAATATTGTCCCCGCACAGTTCTCAGTTGTCTTTTTCTAAAACGTGATATTGGAGTTTCTTCACAATGTAGTGATTATCAGCCTTACTAATTACCTGGTAGCCTTTCTTAATATGCACATAATGCACATTTTCCAATGGCTAGAAAATGCAGATCACAAGTGGATATCATTGCATCTATTTTCATGTCTTTCTAAAAACAGGACTACTAAAATCTCTGGGATACACGAGATAGTAAAAAAAAATGAGGATTATAAATGAGTAGCACATAAGAATTATTTTCTTGAATTTAAAATTATTACAACCAGTTCCAGCATGTAAATATATAATAATGTTGGCTAGTGTGTAGTTCTTGAATCAAGAAATCTAAATAAAACATAAAAAGGTGTGCATTGATGTGTGGTTTCTTTGGGCTCAAAGCTGTGGTTTTGTAGAAAGCAGTAGACAAGTTTGGCAACCTGGAGTCTGTGATGGAATAGACTTGAGCTTGAGCTTTGGCCTGTTGTATGTAAGGTGTGTGATTGTGCTGCTCCCTAATTTGGCAACTCTCAGTTTTCTTGCCTGTAAAGCAAAAATGTCATTGCACATCCCTCCTCGGGCTGTTGCAAAGGCGATGAAGGAGCAAGTCAGCGTGGACAGTACAGACTATGGACAATGGCCACTGCTTTAATTATCACCGTTCTGAGACCATTCAGCACAGGTCTTTAATTCATTAATATATCTAAAACTTTCTGGTAACTAATTAATGAGATCTTATATTTCAGATTAAGGATACTTAACGAAAAGATGGTTTCTACCTTCTAAATAGAAGATGTGCATTTAACATTCAACCTATATTGCTGAGAACATAATGTAAGCACTGTACCAATGGAATAGCATTTGATCCTTGCCACGTTCCTAAATGAGCAAACTCCAGACAGATTAAATACCTGGCACGTGACAGTGGAGGAACTTGGAGCCCCAGTCTGGCTGGACTCACCCCCAACTCCTTGGCTGGTCCTTTCCACGTTTTCATTGTTCAGTACTCATTTATTTTAGTTGTTTCTCAAGAAGTCTTGTTTTTATTTTTAGTTTATTACATTTGCTTCTCTTTTTATTTTTCTTATCTTTCCCCCAATCCCTTACACTCCTGCTTTGAGAAGTACTTACATTTACATTTACATTTAACATCCAGCTGCTAAGTTGCTGCATTTCTGTCCAGAAAAGAGCAGATGTTTGTTCAGATAAGGAGCTTGTTCATATAAAGGGTGGTGCACATGTGTGTGTGCAATTGTGAGCCCATGTACATGGAGCGAGGAGGGCCAATAGGAATTGCTACCATAGGTGAGAGTGTGGTCTCTTACTTTGGGAATAGAACATTCCTAGAGATTTTCCCCCAAAGGACCTTAGCACTTGGTAATGAGAAAATTCTCAATCTCGTACATATTCCAATTACAGCCACTCCTCACATAGCATCATTTCATTAAAAGTCACTACTTTTTTTTTAATGATTTATTTATTTATACAGAACTGCAGTACAGGCCAGAGATGTGGAGGGTGAGAGGATTCACCAGGAACAGAGTGGGGAGCAGAACAGGCAGATCGACGAAGTACACTGCTGAGGGGAGCAGCGGGCGGGTCAGGAGAGGTCTGCCACGCCATGTGGTCACTTCTGGGGCAGGCGGGGATTGAACTCATGCGGAAGTGGTTTAAGCTTCTCAGTGCAGTGCTTTCATCTGCTGCACCACCAGGAAGGGCCCCTAAAAGTCACTACTTTTAATAAAGCATTATAACTACACATTTAGTTATAATGTAGATAAGAAAAAACAATCAAGACCTGGCTGGGTCTGTGCAGGCTTGCCTGTTCTCCTTCCCATTATGTGTGGCTTTTCTGAGTACCCTGGTTAACTCCCATGTCCCAAGATGAGCGTGTGAGATTCACTGGCCTCTCAATTATCCCAGTGGGCATCAACATGCATGTGCCTTGTGGTGGAAGGGCATGCTGTGCAGGGCTGATTCGCTCTCTGAGCTGCCCTGATGGGTTGTGACCACCTGAGATCCTGAGATATTAGAAGTCGGGGGGAGGGCTTTATTTAGAAGTTTGGTGGTGTTTTTGTCACCAGAAACAGCTGCAGGTACTAAATTCTTGCTATATCAATTAGCCTTGGGTCAAACTGCTTGTGCTATACATCATTTCCCTTAAAGTAGCAGTTTCCAAGAGCCTATCGATAATGGTAAGTGAGGGCTTCCTGTTTAGTAATTTCCTGAAGTGAACCCTTCAGAAGTCCTTGATCTCTTCTGAAACTTGTTCCGATTCTCAAACAGCAGATGATATTTTTCATCCAGAACATTTTTCTAAACTATAAAATCCATCTTCCGAGGTGAAACCAGTTTGGTAAGGAAAATTCTCAGAGATGACAGTAGACACAAGCAGGCCAGAATCCTCAATTTCTCAAAGCAGGTAGCAGCAAAATAATATAAACAGATTTTGTCCCCTAAAATCCTTGTGCCCGGACATTAGCCACATGCATTCCTCCTCCATCCCCCTGGTGACATCACCCACCACGTAGCCAGAATCCAGGGTGAATTCTGAGATGACAACATCCCGTGGGTTTTCACCCCTGTGCACTGATAACACTTAGTGTCAATTTATTTTTCAATTGTTGCAATATAAGTAATCTGTGTTGGAATCATAGGTGTATATTTTCTACTCCTTTAAATCTAAAAAAAGACAACATTTGTATTATTTAAGTACATTATGTATTTGTACAGTATCATATTTTAAGCTTGTTTTACCACACAACACTAAAGATAATTCAGCGGCACAGGGTCAAATCTCCTCAGTCATATGTTACAATCACCACTTAAGTATGTAATCCTTCACCATAACCCGTGGGACCCCTTCACCTCTTTGCTCCCAGCCTCCACATTCCCCCTCTGGTAGCCTCAATTCTACACACAGTTTTCTAGAGTTTGCTTTGTTTTAATTGCCTATTCCTTTGTTTTGTCTCTCACTATTCCATAGGAGTGAAAGCATCTGATATTGCTTTCTTCTTATTTCACTTAGCATAACCCATCCAGCTCCATCCAAGTTAGTGCAAATGGTAAAAGTTCATCTTTTTTTTTCTTTTCTAATAACTGAGTAGTATTCCATTGTGTATATTGTCTACACCTTACTCCACTCATTTCCCATTCAGCATTTAGGTTGTTTCCATAGCCTGGCTATTGTGTATTTACTACAGTGCTGGGGTAAATGTAGGCAGGCATATATCCCTTCAAATTAATACTTTTAGGGTAAGATACTTAGGAGTGGAATTGTTGGATCATATGGTAGGTCTATTTTTAATTTTTTATAGATTGATTTATTTATGCATCCAGAACTGGAGTAATGGCCAGAGGTGCAGGGGCAGTGAGAGGGCTCACCAGAGACAGAGTGGGGAGCAGAACAGGCCGATTGATGAAGTACACTGCTGAGGAGAGCAGCGGGCGGGTCAGGAGAGGTCTGTCCCACAATGTGGATCACCGTGGGGCAGGGATGGAACTCATGCGGAAGTGGCTTTAGCTTCTCAGTGCTGTGCTTTAACCCACTGCACCACCAGAGAGGGCCTATTTTTAATATTTTTAGAAAATCTCATGCTTTTTCCATATAGCCTGGACCTGTTGACAGTCCTTGTTGGACTTTCTTTTCAATAGATCTGTGCATGTTCTGGTCTTTTCTGTTGTTTCAAGTGGTCATTGGTATTTATTTGTTGGTCTTTTTACTTGAGAGTATTTTTTACTGGAAAGTACAAAGAAACTATGGAACATACAGAGATGAGATTTAAGGTTCTACAGGTAATAAGATAAATGAGTGTCTTTTTTAAGATTTTTAAATATTTATTTTTGTAAAGAAGTACTGAGGGGTAGGTCAGAGATGCAGGGGGTGAGAAGCTTCACTGAAGACAGAGTGGGGAACAGAACAGGCAGATTTACTGGAATACACTCCTAAGAGGAGTAGCAGGAAAGACAGGAGAGGTCTGCTGAGCCATATGTGGGTTAGCTCCCTGGCCGGGGATCAAACTCAGGCTGTTATGATGATTGTACTGAAACTTAAACCCAGGGCCACCATGGAGGCCCCTAAATGAGTGTCTAGAGGAGTAAGGAGACAGGACAATTTCCCAAGACTGCAAAGGAGAAGACAGCAGTGTCCGTGACAGCAGAGACTTACTTCTTCAATAATAGTGTCCCAGGGGTGGCAGACTCCAAGTAGATGGCACAATGGGGCTGAGGAGGCTATGTCCTGGCACCCCGCAGGAATGCCTCTAAAGCAAGAGTCACATGACCACAGTGAAAAAGTCAAGCAGACTAGAAAATTCAATAGAAAAGATATGTTGATTTTCCTATATAGCTCCCCTTAGGCTATTACGTGCATCACTACACTCCTACCTGGGACCTAGTGGGTCTTTGGTCCCTCCACCCTGGGAAGTGATATGAGAAACAACAGGATGCACTGGATATTGGATCAGTAATATACTATTACTAGGAATTACATCTGAAGGCAGTGGAAACATTGTCTCCATGTCTAAAAATTAGAATGCTAGCAAGAGATGCAAAATTTGGCTAAAGGATGCATTGTGTTATATTATTATTATGTATATTATTAATATGTATTATGTTATATTATTATATATTATTATGTTGGCTAGAGTTTGATTATGTTATATCTTAGAAACTCAGGTGCATACACACAGGGTTTTACAGTTCTGTAATAAGATTTGTAACCAAATAATATAGGCTTGGTGTAATACTCTAGGGAGTAGTGGGGACAATGAATTACTGGGAGGACAAATTCCATCTACAGAGGCAGTCACTAATGTGGCAAGCCCACTGTTGCCAGATTGCTAGAATCCCCAAAACCAGCAGAGCACTGAATCTATTCCTTTCTGGACAGGTGTAGTAAACTCAGAGAGACACTGAAACTCTTATCTTCCTTGTGCCACAAAGTTGATGCTGCTATTCTTCAGTGTTCTTCCCTACTCTGGAGGTCAATGCCTTATTATTGGAATCAATATAAAACTTTTTTTTTATTTTACAAAAGTTTATTTTTACATCATTTTGTACATTTTTTTTTCCATCTCAGTTGTAATCCCCATGGGTTTCCCATCACCAAGTTCAATATAAAACTTTTATGTGCTCTCTCATGACAAGAAAAATAGACTTTTTAACCATAAATTAGTATAAAAATTGCAAGCATTTCACGATATGAGTCCTCTGTCTGACTTTGGGGATCTTTCTCTTTTTTCCCCTTCCTCTGAATCACAAGTTCCTTGTGGGTATTCAGGCAGTGATGTTGATTTGACTGAGGGTAACACTTGAGGTGGGACTTTGCTGAGGTACAAGGGTCTAGGGAGAGAGAAAGTAG